ACGACGGTAGGGATTGTCACTCATTTTGTTCAGATTTCCAAGGAATGCATTTGTAGGGAGTCATCATCGATCCAAGCACGTGTCAGGACATGGAACATTAAAAGTGCCAGTTCCAGCCTGGGACAGTGGATGCGTTCACACACATCGGCCCTCGGCAGAACAAGGGCCAAGCCCCCACACACCCAGGGGAGCCATCCTCAGCCAAGAGGCCTCAGGAAGGACCCCAACCATCTGAGGCAGAGGCGAGCCTCTTACCGCTTATGCCGGAAGCTCCCAGGTGACCGCAGACCACACAGCGCTACTCTCCTGGGCTGTCTTCACCATGGAGACTGGGCATCGCTGATGAGGCAGAGTGGGACTCACCCATGCTCACAGACACCTGCATCCAGCCAACTCCGCCTGGGAAGTGGGGAGAAGAGACAGATGCACTTCAGCATGGCAGACAGGTCTGTGGGAATCCACAGCAGTGCCTCGCAGCGGGGACACGCTGCTCTGCCTCTCCCTATGATTCGGGTGCTCCTCCTGTGCCTGCGAACAGACACCCACACGTGGATGCTTCCAAGCATGGGGGTGTGGGGTATGGGGTGGGAGATGGAGTGAAGGGTGGCGGGAAGCGGAGCCGGACATGGGCGTGAGAGGGGTAGGAAGTGGGGGTGGGAAGCGAGGGCCACCCTGGGCACAGAGTGCTTCAAAGGAAATGAGTCCCCAGTCCACGCACCCCACCACTGTTCTCCTACACACAGTCCACACGGCCATAGGGGGATCTCGTGGACCTCACCCTCCCACGGTCTGGGTCCCAGCCCAGAACACCTCTACCCAACAATGGCCCTCTCAGTAGCAAACCCGCTCACAGCACCTACTCATCCTGAAAGCGAAGTGCATTCCAGGGAGACACAAAACAGCATCGGCAAGCTAGCCCAAGGTGACAGTTCACAGCTCGAGGGGAACCGCCCCAGGAGCAATGAGCTGGAAGCTTCTGGGAGAGGACGCTTCGTGGCCTAGAGCCACAGGGGCACAAGTGGCCTCCTGCAGCCGGCCACCCATGCTCCTTCCCTCTCTGCCATGGCCAGATCCCCTCCCTTGTTCAATGCAGAAAGCCCACCTGGGGCTTGAGAGTCCCCACTTCCCGAGGTGCCAGCAACCAACCACCTGGCAACAGGTCACCTAACACTCGTTCGGGCGGGCTCCAGAGCAGGACCACTGCAAGGGGTGACCTCACATGCTCATGCCACTTGCGTGTCCGCCTACATCCAACTATCACCTATGGAGGCCCGTGATGCCAGAAGCCCAACGGGCCCTGCAACGTGGCCTGATCCTGCCCTGGGGGCCATGCAACAGGGGGCCGAACCTTGGACCAGGAGCACCGCCTGACCTAAGAACACAACCCAGCCGTCCATGGGCCTGGGGTACCCACCTCTGCCCCAGAAGCAAGTACACAGGAACCATGTGTGGATCTGGCCACCGGGCAGAAAGACCCATCAGCACATACCCTGATCCCGCAGCCTCGCCTGCCCCTGGTCCAAGACCAATTCTCGTGGCACTGTTCGCCACCACATTCTGCCAGTTGATGCCCACTGCCCTCCCGCTGGAAACCCAAACTTCTTGGGAAACTTCTGTGAGCTGGTTACCCACCCTGAGGGAGCCTCTCCAGGTCACCATTCACTGCCATACCTGCCAAAGTCAGCTCTGGAGGGGAGGGGAGGGCGTTGGAAAGGGCACTGGTGCCCAGATTCGACCTGCCCATCTGAACACCACTGGCAACCCCAAGACGCCCAGGCGCTGCCACCTCCCCCTAAGAGGAAACGCGTCAAGTCCACCACAGACGGGTGCCCTGGCCTCCCAAGGCTCACCATCATTCTCTCCTGTGTTCCTGTGGCCAGAGGAGACCTGTCCCAGCAGGGGGATCACCCCGCCTCCAGCCCCCACGTCGCACTAATGAGTCGTTCCAGGGACCACGGTTCTAAATGCCTCCATCTCTACCGAGGGCTTCCCATGGTCGCCCGTGGGCCACGTCCATTTGACCTCACTGCCACATCCCTGTAAGCCACCATGATGGCCACGGCCCACAGGATGGATGCTGCCGCCCAGGCGATGCAGTTAGCGTAGCCGACCTCCCCATTCCTGAAACCGCCTGAGCCTGCCCTACCAGCAAGGCACTCCACGAGCCCTCTGCCATGGAGCAGCTGAGGAAGAAGCCTGCCCCGAGCCTGGCCTGAGGCCCTTCTCATGTCCCTTTTCCAAAACCTCTCTGCTCTG